TTGGAGTCAAATAAAACCAACACAGAAAAGAAATTTCACAAGGCAAATTACATTGAATGCATCAATTGATGAACTCTTTGTTGAATGCACATGAGTTGTCTGTACATACATTTTCTGCGACAATGTTCTAGCATGAAGGGTGTTATACTATTACATGCATTTCTCATTTTTGTTTGAGACATAGTGAAAAAATAATATATAATATTGGAGTGAGTTCTGGGATCGTGCTGACCAGGCAATTGATTTGTTTCCAATGCATTCTGTTGAAAATATTTTCTTACTTTTGCTGAATTTTGAGAAGATGCACCGTCCTGTTGACAATTTCGTATTTCACGATGGATGGTCGGTGGGAATTTATCTGAGTAATCATCAAACTCATTGGATAAAAATCAAAACTCCTAAGAAGGTCTGATATGTGCTTTATGGAGCATCAACAGTTGCTGAGGTGTGTACAGTTTTCTGGTTCGGAACAGTGTTCCAAGCTTTTGGAATGCAGCCTCCGCCATTAAACCCCCAAAAAACTTATCGAAGCAGAAAGCGGAATCGTCTGAGCTGACATTATTATTTCCAGTTCGAAGACATTCATCTTCTTTGAAAAAACCGATGCCTGGGTTTTTGTGGCATTGAATTGAACCTGGTAACTCTCACGAAATCACTTCTAAATCCTTACTAAGATATTCAGCCGCCTGCTGCCGGTGAAAATATGCCTCCATAGCCGATATTCTGGAATCCAAATGGAATGATGAGACAAATGTGCTGTCTTCAGCAAAGCAATATATTGGACTCTTGATTTTTCCAATAAGTCATTGATATACAATAAAAAGAGGGTTGGAGAAAATATGGATCCCTGAGGAACACCAGCGTTTATGGTGAAAGTATTCGAGAGATATCCATCGACGATCACTTTCAGGGAAAGTTTTTAAACAAAAATGATCCGAAAAGCCATAGACTCGAAGTTTGGCCACCAAACCCTCATGCCATGCACGGTCAATGGTCTTAGAAATATCAAGTGCAACAGCTCTTGATTCTCCATGATTTTTAATATCACTGACAGCAAATCGATATGTCACATGAAAGATTTTCCTTGCCCTTCACGGCCCAAGTCAGAGCTTGGTTCAAATACATCCGTAAACGAGATACTCTGTATCTGTAAGATATTTCCATTTTACTTCGCTTAACATCACTTGGTATTCTAAAAAATTCATCGTATATTTGTGCTTCACCCTGTAAGTGAACTGTTCATTAATACCTGCTGTTAATGCTTAACCTCATATTTATTACATTCTGCGCACGTACTAACTCCAACCTTTCTTGTGAGGCTGAAGTATACTTAAGGTGCGAGGTGAACCGCTAATAACTTGGTTATATTCAATATCCATGTTGGATATTGGATATGATAGACAATTTCAAAGTTGAATATTTTTCAACTAGAGCTTCGGAAGGCAAAGTGAAAGATCAACCTCTGCTGCCTCCTCAATCTAGCTTCGGCTATTTGGTAGCTCCCAAAGAGCTGAGGCTTGATTGGCTAACTCACAAAACAGGGTCTCATTCAAGATGTATCATATCGAATTTCCACTAGCACTTTGAGAAGAAGTGAAATTATGGAAAAATGTTTTAGATATAAAAACATTGAACTCATAAAGGAAGTTCAATGTGAGATACACACTCTGCAATGGACGTGTTTGAGATGCAATATTATGTATTACTAAATACATAATATTGAATGGGAATAATATACATATAACCATCTGAATTTCGGGTTGAATCGCGCTCAAAGTTTTACATTGTTCGACGTTTCAGCTTCGACTTCAAAGCCATTTTCAAGAAGTAGAAAAGTATGGCTGTACTGAGAGACACACTTTGGGGCTTCCATATTCTGGTCTTGCCAAACCTTCGAGACAGTATAACCCTCATTGACCCATGTTTCTTCCAAATAAAAAATATTAACATGGTGTTTCTATATTGTTTTCCAAAAGTGAAATTCAGCTCTTGTAATATCTTCCCTAATCTAGTTCTTCTTATTTCACAGAAAAAACTGCCTTCACGAATAACTGACAAACCGTTATTTAATGTACGTATTCCATTTTTTATGGAATACGTACATTAAATCTTGATAGAATTCTTGATTTCTACGTCGATAACCAAACACCAAAAAGCAGTTGTTTTCCTTAAGTTCCTTGAGAATTCTAAAAATCGTCGATTTGATGACACCGGTCATACTCGCGTATTTTTGCGATACTTTCTATTTACTTTTAATTTACGGCGATTATTGTATTCTCAAAGAATTGAATACATTCATAATGAATGTTTTTTCATTCATATTTCATGCTGACAATTTCAGACGCTTCACGGCTCCAGAAGAACTAGCTTCCATGTTCTATAGGTTTTAATTCAACGCGTTCTCGAAGTAAACTGAAGAATAACACTAAGACTAAGAATGAGAATAAGATTAAGACTAAAACATACCCCTCTACTATGGCCTTCCAACAGAAAATAATGTGATATTTTCTTTCTATGAAAAAAGCTAAGTTGGTCCTATTGATGGGTGTAGTATATCTATTGACGGTATAATTCAAAGGAATATCTATTTATACCGCCTTCAAAAAAACAATGTCCCTTCAATTCCCTTCAACTAAAGACTTACTTGTTGGAGAATGTCTTGGTTACTACTGGACATATTTTCACATTTATCGTAGTTGATGTGTTGTTTTATTAAATATGTTATGAATGAGATTTTTCTAGAATAAATTTTATATATTCATTTATTCAATTCGTTGATTGTAAATCATTTCACTGCAGTACGCCTATGGCACTAATCAAGCAAATGAAAATTTTTGGGACATCACAAAACTAATAGAGTAACAGATCCAAATACTTTCGGGATTTCAAACAACTCCAGTGGCAATATGCCCTGTATATAAACATAATTTTTTATTGAACACAACCAGTCGTCTGCAAAGGAATGTTCTTCTGTCACCTTGTTCATTAAGGACGCTGCTTTATGGGTGTGATCGACATTAAAGCATGTAATAATGGGTCGAAACATAAATAATTGTAAGGTAATTCTGTTAACCATGGGCTTGACATTCATTTCTCTCCGCTATAAAGCGTTCGCTGTTGCTAAGTGTTATCGAGAAAGTTTGGATAATCGATGAAAATCACTCAGGGTTTATCAAACCTTGGATTGAACTTGGGGACCCCGAATTATTTTTTCTATGTTCGCTGTTGTGTAGATATGAAACGTTTATAAAATGTGAAATTGACATTTAGATCACCTATAAAATAGGTGAATACTCAGCAAAATTATTTTTCCCATACATATAAACTGTGAAAATGTTATAACACTATTTTAGAATAATATTTTGCTTTTTAACGCGTCTCAAGAGTATTTTTCACAGTACACTTTCATGTAAAGTTATCCCTTCTACAGTATGCTGAAGAATTATAATGAAAAAAGTCATCAATAAATGTGTGAGGAAAATATTGAAGGAGAAGTGAAACTGTTTTTTTTTGTCAAAATGTGAATAGTGATATTGTGACCTTCTATATGTCTTCTAGAATTACTTTAATGAAATGAATAAAAACACTTTTGTCCAGCACTTATTGATTTTATTTAAACGACCGGTTCGGGTTTGTCCCCATTATCAAGTATAAAACTGAAGTATGAAGTTTGAAAACTCGGTTACATTGGGAGTTTTCAGGTGAGATGTAAGGACAGGTATTTGAAAGACAGGTAGTTGGGCGAACCAGGATCCAACTTTAAAATGCAACACTGAAAATTCTAGGGGTTAATAAACTTATAAATTCAAGAGAGGAGACATACATAAATCGAGTTGATCGTTTAGGGGTATATATTTCTGGTTTTTAATTGATTTGTTAATTTTCATGGCTTAAAACAAATAAATTTTTTTCTCTTCATTACATATGTGTAGGTTTTTGAGGTTATCTTTATTTATCTTGTGTTTTGATTCTTGAAGATGTTCGTACATTGTAGATTTTTTGTCCAAACAGACATGTTCACGCAGCCTTATGTCAAAATTTCTACCGGTTTGGCCCGTATATACTGCAGAGCATTTGCCACACTCTATTCTATAAATACCTGATTTTTCATTCTATCCCGTGGGATTTGCATTGAACAGGGTTCTACCTGAATTATTATTACTTATGAAATCTGTTGATATTTTGTATTTAGAGAAATAATATCGGAACCAAAACACAATATGTTTCTGGGAAAGGGGGTCATTAACAACGCCAAAAAACTAGATAACCCACTCCTTCACAAACAAAGTAGCAGGACTTAACCGCTAAGCTAGGAATGTCATGGAGGAATCAACAATGCTGTTTCCCATACCATGTGATATAAAAAAATATGCATGAGCCCCCAGCCTCCAGAATTGTATAGAATAGTCAAACACCACAAAGAAGACCATCCAGCCAGACTCGTGGTATCATATATAGATGTCCCAACCAGTAAGTTGTCTACATTTTCAAATTCAAGATTAAGAGAACCCACAAAATTAAGAAAACAAAATTAAAATTAATGAGTGATAAAATGCGAGAATACCGAAGTGTTGAAATTCATTTCACGAATTGAATTCACAGTAGAAATAGAACAAAACAAGGAGCTGAACTTTTCACATTTAAATATTTCAAGAGTCGATAATGGTTTACAATTCAATATCTATCGGAAAAACACATTTACAGACTTTTTCAGTCCACTCTCACATAAGTTATCCGCGTTTACGTTGATGGTACACAGATCTTTCGCAATCCCGTTACCTGAAAAGAATTTCCAAAGTGAACTAAAAATAATTAAGCAAATTGTAAGTACCAATTTCTCTAATAGAAAAGATAATATTAAGTAAAACTCACGAAACACTTATGAGTAAATTATACCCAAACAGTGATGTCAAAACTTCGTATACAAGATCATTTATTGTTCATGAAAGGGGTGAAAGGGTGTTCCAGAAAAAATGTTTCTGTAAAAAACTGATACTACCTTCAATTTTTCCATGAACTTCAATTATATTTACTATTCTCATTTCCTATATACATAATTCATATTTTTTTCAATATCGTCAATCAACTTGTAACCAAATTCACATATTCTATATATCACATCTGCGTTAGTGATAATTCCACTTCTAAAAATATCCATCACAAATATTGAGAAACTTTCTTCTCACTATACTAAGTTTCGTTCGAGTAATTATTTCAGTCTACTCCATTTTTGGAGTTGAAGACTTTCACATTACTTTCATAGGACTTGTTTCAGGGTTCCCTTTTGAAGTTATCACATGGTATCTCTTTGCTTACACATGATGCGTAGGCCATGAGATGTGGTATGACATTCTCTTCCATCACTCCTGTGAACAAATGTGCCCAAGGACCACGAGCGAAAATTGCCACATCATCTGCTCCATGTGTCTCTGAATCTAGGGGAGAAGTGGAGGGCCATTTGAAACTTATTTCATCTGTAAACGAGACATGAACATTTAAAATAATTGTGATGAAACTACAGATAATCAATTCAACAATAGTCAACGAAAAAATGTGAAAAAATACTTTTGAAACGACCATATGAAAAATCTTTTTTGTGATACAACTGAACTGAAATTTATTAGTCCGGACTTTCATTGTCTGATATGATTCTACTTCGATTCGAAATCTGTGAAAGAACAAATAAAATTAGAATGAATAGCTAAAATATCAATCATATTAAGCAATTATACCTGAAATGAAAATGCAATAAAACGAATAAAATAATCATGATATGCAAATAAACAACAAGTAAACAGGAAAAAAAACAATGAAAATAAGAATGAGCAACAAACTGAAAAATATTTCAAATCCAGTTACTTCACGACGTTTTGATTGTTAATATCCACAATTGTCTTCTGTTGACGACTGGACTATTCCTCTGAGAGATGACTGATTATCAACACAACAAAAAATATTTTTTGAATGTTTCCTACACTAAATTAGTCAATTTCTACTAATTTTGGGGATGGCAGGAAAAGTTGAGTATCAG